TTTTTGTGCGACGAAAAATAAATATTGGTTGCACAAAGTCTAAAAAAATTATATAAAAAAATTCCCGCATCCCATTTTTGGTACCCGTCCAAACTTTTGCACGACGAAAAATATATATTGGTCGCGCAAAGTCTAAATTATTATTTAAAACAAAAAAAATCCCGCATCTCATTTTTGGTAACTGCCCAAATTTTTAGAGTTTGCGCGACGAACTGTTAGTCGCGCAAACTTTTGAGAGACGAAAAATTGGTTCGTAGCACAATATTTATAAAAATAATTGTTATGAATAATAAAAAATAAAATAATTTATTTTACGATTTAAAATATAAATAGGTTAAAGCTACTTAAGAAATGTATATACTATTCAATTTCTTAAGTGTTATACGTACAAAATAAATAAATTTAAAGCTACTTAATAAATATATATATACACACACACACACCATTCAACGATCCAACCATCAGACTTGTTTGTATATACTTCAAGATCGTATACCCCAAAAATCGCAAAAAACAAACATTCAGAGATCTACTAACGGGACAAAATTTTTCGACGGTTATAAATGAAAAATCATGATTTAACGGTTATTTTAACTCCGATTTTGATGAATTTTTACCGTTACACTCCTTGACCCTATATGAATACAATGACTGAATTTGATATTCAATTTAAAATATTTACACTAGTGGATACCACAAAATCTTATGTTATATTTAACGAAAGTATAAATAAACTCTTAATTGTTAGTGAATATATTGTTTTGATGGCATACACATTCTACGAAACTAGTTTCAACGATCCAACCGTCAAACTTGTTTGTTTATACTTCGAGATCATATACTGAAAATGGTACTTAGGTGACGAGGGGTAAATTTAAAAGATATTCAACCAAGAACGCAGCAAACTTCACACACTCTAGACCTTGACCAAATACTCTTATGACTAGTCAACTGTCATATATGAATTATACCAAACAATAACATACACAGAGCACACCAAGATGTACCTGCAAGCCTAGAGAATTACTAGTGACAACCTAGGCACTCAGAAGGACCCGTCAATCTAGGCATCCCATGTGCTAGCAACAACTATGGTGAAAGTGTGTGAAGACCAAACAGCAGAATCAAGCAAACACCAAACAACAGAAAAAGATGACTAGTCAACTGCACAAACCCAGATGACTAGTCAACTGTCAAGAACACAAACCCAGAAAATTTACAGAGTTGGAAACCAGAAACTGTTTACCCAGAAACCCACCATTGGGAAAAACTGGGGGTCATCAACCGACCAGGCAATCCACTAAGTAGAAAAAGATTCTTACAAAGGAACACAAGCAAGCTCAAGAAAAACCTAGATCTATTTAGGAAGATGAGCTATACCTCCTTTGTGCAATCTTCTTCTCCAACTTAGCAAAGCTTGAAGCTCAGTTCTTCATGGCAATGACAGCTCCTTCTCCAGCTCGTTCATCCCATGGCACTAGCTTGCAAGCTCCAACACAAACCGAAACCAAAATTTGGATTTAAAGAAGAATGACCAATTTCTTCAAGAAACCATACTCTTGAAGAAATCAATCTTGAATCTGACCTAGATATAAATGATAGAATGATTTAAGTAGCTAGATGCAGATTTGTATTTCAAATGCAGTTTTTCAAAAAGAAATCAATTGGAAAAACTCATAGATGAAATAAGATGGTTCTCTCGAGGAAGAAGAAGCGAAAGATGGCAAGCCAAACTTTCCAAAACTTCCACCCAAAAGAGACAACCACCAAATGACCAAAAACGTAGCCTTTACAGCCAAAAAATTCCTTAGGTCAGAAAACACAGATGGCAGCAGAGAGAGAGAAAGAGGAATAGAACAAAACAGTTTGTTATCCAGCTGGAAATTCTACAGAGCAAGGATGACTAGTCATCTGAGAAACGGATGACTAGTCATCATTTTTATGAAGACTGTTTTATGAAATGATATGCAATGCACAATACCTTTGTCAAATTGCTTGAACCTCCATACAACAGAAGTTAGAGAAGAACACCAGGAAAGGTTTTCCTTAATCTAAACTTGAGCTTGATAAATAACAACACACATTCTATTACAAAGTTGTCAAGGGAAGCCAAAAGAAAATAGTAAAAACTATACATTAACATATACGCCAAAAATCGGAAAAAATAAACATTCAGAGATAAAATCCGATCCGATCTAAAATAATAAATTTAAAGCTACTTAATAAAAATATATATACCATTTGATTTCTTAAGTGTTATGCATACAAAATAAAAAACAAAAATAAATTGGTTCAAGCGATGAAATGTTTGGATTACGCCATGCAAAGATTTTTAAAAATAAATAAATAAATATATTTATTTTTATAAAGACTTTGCACGACGAAGTTTATTGTTTTGTCGCGCAAAGTTACTTTGAGCGACGATGTATTGTCGTCGCACAAAAGTTTGTCGTGCAAAGTCACTTTGCGTGACGAATTGTTTTTCGTCGCCCAAAATTTGGTCGCGCAAGACTTTGAGCGACGATGTATTGTCGTCGCGCAAAGACGAATTGTTTTTCGTCGCACAAAAGTTAGTCGCGCAAGGTTTTGAGTGACGAAGTTTTGAGTTTCGTCGCGCAAAGTGACTTTGAGCGACGAATAGTTTTTCGGTGTGCAAAATTTGGTCGCACAAGGGTTATTTTTTACTAGTGATAATTTTGTTCCTTCAAAGAATTGTCTTAAGCTGCTATATTGCATTTGAAGAACAATCGGTGGGTATATAATTCAGAGGAAACCTTTGCCAGTACAACCATCTTAATCCTGTACAAAATTCTGCATAACATAGTTGTACATGACTAAGATGAAGTAGTTTTAGTTCGTGCATCGTGGCTAATGCATTCCAAGACTTTCTCATTTGAGTGTATGAGACTATTTGGAGGGAGCATATGCATGTCGAGGACAAGACCTTCAATTGCTTCTGTACCCTACAAATGAAAAGGGAAAAACATTTGGAAAATAGTTACAAGAATAAAAACATATATGTGTGCATATAGGACATGTTTCTTACATTCTTTTCTGTCAAGATAGTGAAAGAATCTTTATGTTGCCATACCCTACTACGCTTCTAAGGCTTCTCTGATTCTAAGCCAACGATTTCTCTTCCCATTGCATGAATCTGTTGGAATTTTAAAAGCTTTTAAAAATTTTACCATTATAAGTTTTAAATTTTGTTTTAATTATTTGGCTGTTTTATTTTATTTATTGTTGGGGGTTATAAATATTTATTTTCAGGTTTTATTTCTATATCAAATGACTTAATTTTCTAGTTTAATGTGGTGAATGTTACATGATTTTGGATGCCTTTAAAAGGCCACTCCTCCTTCACATTTGATGAGAAGACAACACAACAAAAATTTAATTATCTCTTCTCCTACCTTTATATATATATATATATATATTATTTCCTAGTCACATAACTAAAGCTTTCGTGTTGTCTATACAATTTCAATTGCTTTAAATATTGTTGGTACATTTGTATTTTTATAATTTGTTGGTAATGTTGGGCAATTACTGCTAGTATTTGTGAAAAAAAAAAAAAAAAAAAAAAAAAAAAAAAAAAAAAAAAAAAAACCTACGGACTAATTATGTGGTATTATTATTATTATTAGTTCAACGTATGAGAAAGAAGTTGTGTTTGTATTTGAACAAAGCCATTGGGTTGCTGTGAAATTTCTTTGATGTTTTCAAGGAAGCTGCTTCTTTCAAATCCTGTTAAGTTTGAATTATAAGCAAATTTCAAGGAAGTTGTTTTCCCTATTCCACTCATCCCATAGACTACTGGTATGCCAACAATAGTTGATCCGTCTTGTAACCATAAATTAATCGTTTCCACTCGTGAATGCGTTCCAATCATGTTGGGGGCAATACTTAAGGTTGTGCGACTTAAGTCTGTTTCCGATCATGTTAACTATTTTCTTGATAAACTTTGACTGTTACTGAATAAATTGCAGTCAAAATGAAAGAGAACATTTGTGATGTCATATAAGTGTATATTATAAACTACATGGAAATAAAATAAAAGATGAGTGTTGAAAGAATTAGATAGAACTTAAAATTATGTTGACAACCTGAAAGAAATTAAGAATTCAAATATGCAAACTTAGTTGACCCAGCATATTACTGAAAGAATTTTTTGAGACAATTGACCCAGCATCTTCTGGTAAACTTAGTTGATCCTGAACTCTATTATTTCAAGTTTCTATAATAGAGTTCAAAATAGAGCACTCTGTCATAGTTTTTGCAGGTATAATGTTCATGAGAATATCGTAAATTTCATGGCTCCGGAGCCTATGACCCTTCCAGCTATGGTTCCTGACCTCAATAATTTGTTTGGGTTGAAGAACCAGAAACGAGCTTCTGTAGTATAGTGTATAGGCCTTTTGGATCCAGGCTCTTAAATTTTGTATTTGATTAGATCAGTAGAAGATGTATTTGATGCTATGAAACAATTGGTCTTAGGAAGACATTGGCTATATATAATTATATATGCAAAGACAAAAGTTTTATGCTAATTTATATGAAGGAAGAAAGCCACTTCTGTCGGGCAATTATCCAGCTGTTGAGTTGAAATGTACAAAAAATTCAGCCGCGGCTTGTGGACTGTCGCTTCTTTCTTTGAGAGAGAGAAGACCCAGTGATTAGAGAAAGAGTGACAAAGAAGCAAGCTGCTGTGAAGAGCACCTTCCAGCCACGGAGGCCGCCGAATTTATTGCTGCCTGTGTTAGCTGCAATAGCGTGATCATCCTGCTCTTCTTCTTTGTCTGGAAAACACAGAAAATCCCAACAAATTAGAGGAAGCTTGTTTTTCAAATGAATATGGACTGGTCTGTGACGAGCGTAGATGATTATCCGATACTAACAACATAGATTTGTGATTCTAATTTAATTTATTAGGGTTCTCATTTTTTATTATTTAGTTTTAGAAATAGTTGGAGTAAGATCAAATAATTTAAGCAACACACCTGCTGTATCTTCATCAGAGTCCTCATCATTGAACAAGTAGTCTCTTGAGAAATTTCGCCAAGGAACACGTGCACGAAGTTGGAAGGTTTTGTGTTGGGTACTCATCATAGTATTATGATTCTCTTCTTGTTCTTGCACAATCTGGATGCCTAACTCCTTTACTCGAAAGCAAGGTTGCGTAACAACTGAAACACCCACTCGATCGCCACCTTCTAAGTGATCATCCTGAAACTTCCAGTGGCTTAACCATATCATGTCTTCTCCTTCACCTGGAATACCGTAGTGTGTTGGGCTATAGTACCACTTCAGATCCTTGCTCTTATTTCTGACTCTCGCCATCATATCCCCATCAAAACCAGTCAACCGATTGCGAGGAAAATCAGAGCCAGAACTCGCATAGACAGCGAAGACGACCAAGGCTTGAATTCTGTGTTTATCAGGTAAAGTCACAGTAAAAGATATTGAGGATCTTCTACTTTTATGGCTGAATCGGCCCGGAACCTCATTCCCAGCAAAAAATGTGCTGAACATACCACGTTCGTACAGTCCCTGTATATATGCAAGTATATGCAATGGAAATGACCCTATTAGTCAACTCTTTCCTTTGATCATATGAGAGAGTGAGAGAGAGAGAGAGAGAGAGAGAGGCGCACCATGACAGGACTTCGATGAACCACTATTGCACTACAGAATGGCTTTCGAATCCGAATGGGTGCCATGGATTCCAAGTTGCACAAGCCCAAGAGGTTGATCATATCTACATCAACTCTTCCAATGGGTTCTACCTTGAACCTATTCTCCCACTCAACTAGGTTGCGGTTGTCACCCAAATGGGTAGTACCCGATATTCCTCGAAAGTACTGATATGTTATTTTTTCCAATGATACGCAACCATCGATACGCAAGTCATGTGGTTTTGGTAAACCCACAAGGGATTTGAGTCTCGTACACTTGGAAAAAGAGAGCTCATCGAGCCTTGTTAAACCTTGGATGCAATTTGGCAGGCGACAAATTGGATTATTCCCTACGTTTAGTCTTCGCAATGAAGATAGATTACTAAAATCCCTAGGAAAAGTATCATCCGAAAGATTGCACCCCCAAACACTTAAATTTACTAAAGAGCATGGTAAAGAACTCCAGATACATGAACTTCTTCCTCGCCATAATTGTGTTATTGGCATTTCATCTATCTCAAGAACTTTCAGAGATTCCATGTTCCTTAACATCTCAATTGATAACTCATTAAGATTTGTGCAACCAGATATAATAAGTGTTTCAAGTGATTTTAGCATAAACACTTTCTCTGGAAGCATCCTAAGATTTTTGCAATCCTTCATACTCAAGTACACAAGTCTCTCAAGATTCCCAATGGATCCATTGACATCAACCAGGCCTTCACAATCTACAAGAATCAATTTCTCTAGATTTGGGCAAAATGAGAAGTCGGTGGTTTCTGTAAGTGAATGAGAATGGCTGAGATCAAGGATCTTCAATGAAGAAAGACACTGGGGGAAAAAATGTACAGAAGAAAACAATGTGGGGAGTTAATTGTTGTAGATATATTTTGTTATCAAACTGAAAGCCTAATGAAAATGGAATTAAAATGAAAAGCGTAGAATAACATACTTTTGTTTCTTTGAAGACTTGCTTCAAGCCGCTATATTGCATTTCAAGAACAATCAGGCTCCCGAAAGGAAAATCTGTGGGTATAGAATCCAAAGGAAACTTATTCCAACACAACCATCTTAATCCTGTACAAAATTCTGCATAAGATCCGTCGAGTTGTACATGACTAAGATGGAGTAGTTTTAGTTCATGCATCCTTGTAAATGCATTGGTTCCCAAGACTATCTCCGTTGAGTTTATGTGACTGTTTCTAGGGCGCATGTGCATGTCGAGGACAAGGCCTTCAATTGAATCTGTACCCTACAGAAGAAAGGGGAAAAACATTTGGAAAATATTTACAGATGAAAAACATATATGTGTGCATATGCGACATTTTTCTTACATTCTTTTTTGTCAAGATATTGATGTTTGGGCCACAAATTGGCATGCCCAGCCCAGCAAAAATTAGGCCCAGAATGAAGCTGCAAAAAACTTTTTTTTTTTTTTTTTTTTTTTTTTTTTTTTTTTTTTTTTTTTTTTTTTTTTTTTTTTTTTTTTTTTTTTTTTTTTTTTTTTTTTTTTTTTTTTTTTTTTTTTTTTTTTTTTTTTTTTTTTTTTTTTTTTTTTTTTTTTTTTTTTTTTTTTTTTTTTTTTTTTTTTTTTTTTTTTTTTTTTTTTTTTTTTTTTTTTTTTTTTTTTTTTTTTTTTTTTTTTTTTTTTTTTTTTTTTTTTTTTTTTTTTTTTTTTTTTTTTTTTTTTTTTTTTTTTTTTTTTTTTTTTTTTTTTTTTTTTTTTTTTTTTTTTTTTTTTTTTTTTTTTTTTTTTTTTTTTTTTTTTTTTTTTTTTTTTTTTTTTTTTTTTTTTTTTTTTTTTTTTTTTTTTTTTTGCAGTTTTCTGTTTGTGTTTGTGCTGAGAAATTAAGACAGTTTCATTCCACTTACAAAATTTTGAGCAATGTCAATACACTTTTCTTCTTTTCTAGATCCCAACGATCTAAGTGGATTGTAGTGTCTCCACTTTCGTTCAATTTTGTGAAATGTGAGAAGTGTAAAGTGGAACTCAGAACTTGAAATGATCGGGAAGAAGAGAACATTGCATTTCCCGAGTTTTTCAAGTAAGTGTTCATACAGGGCCCTATGCCAATTTGGTTCTAGAAAGGTTTGCATGTAAGCCTGATATCATTGAATGGCAATTTGTTAGTATATATTTTTCGAAAACTGCAGTGCCGTGTCTGTTTAAACAACTTTGAATTTTCAAAATAATTCTTACCCAAGTCCATGTAGACATGTACTGTGGACTATCTGTCTGCATGGGCCCTATTTTCTCCTCCTCTATTTGGATATAGGCCTCAATAACCTGTTTCACATTGATTGGAGAAAAATGGAATTATTAACGGGTAATATGCAGTGCAGTGTGTGTTATAGAATTAGTATTTTATACTTACGTTTTGTGACAGTTCCAGGTCCCATACAATATCTTTGATATCATGGTTTGTCACTTTCTCACTATCGAGTCCTGCCCAAAAGTTATCACTGCGGATTCAAATACATGAAATTCACAAGATTAGTTTTAGTTTAATTGTAATTAAAAGATGAAAGAGTTGTTCTTTTGGAATAGAGATATTACCTAGGTTGAGTACTTAAGTAGTATTCTTCAATTCTGTCCCTGTCCTCCTTTGGAATTTTCTGCCAAACCTTCTTTTGACCCCATCCTAGTTTTTTCTTTGTTGGCTTTTTTTGTCCTTCATCTTCATCATTTGATTCTTGCATACCTACAAGTATTGAATCATGAAGGCTCGTTCCTTTTGGGGGATCAGGAATTGGATTTGTGGCATCGGGCTGAGATGCCTCTTGTGTTAACTGCAGATTGAAAGGAAACTAATTAGAAACTCCATTTGATAAAACAGAAACTGCAATGCAGTTTCCGTTTTTGTAAAGCAGCAGAAACTGCAATGCAGTTTCCGTTTCTGTAAAGCAGCAGAAACTGCAATGCAGTTTCCGTTTCTGTAAAGCAGCAGAAACTGCAATGCAGTTTCCGTTTCTGTAAAGCAGCAGAAACTGCAATGCATTTTCCGTTTCTGTAAAGCAGCAGAAAACAGAAAAGCAGCAGCTTGAACTGCAGTAATTGCATACCACCTTCTGATTTTGAGGATCCTCTTGTGTTGATTGCTCCTCGGAAGAGATAATCTTGAATTGTGGTAGTTCTTCATCATCCTTTTTTGCCTTCTTTTTTGGTTTCTTATTTTTTTCGTACACATAGCAAGATGCTTGAAGCCTCTTTCTTTCTCTATTCTTCAGCCTTATTACTCTTGAAGGAACATCAGGTGTTGGAGCGTCTTGCTTCTTCTCTTCTTCTTTCTCTTCTTGTTGCTTCTCTTCTTCTTTCTTGTCTTCTTCTTTCTCTTCTTCTTCTTCAATCTCCTTTTTCTTGGCAATCTTCTCCATGTCAATCCGAGTTTCCTTGCCTTCCAATTCTGCAATCCTCCTTTTTAGATTTTCTATTTCCTGAAGCTGAACTGTAGATTCCACTGTCATGGTGGCAGTCACATATTCTTCATTATCTAATTTCTCTTCCAGCTCCTTTGATCTCTTTTCTCCCTGGATAAATATATCCCACAATTCCTTCATTTTCTTCTCACTATCTTCATTTTTTTCATCCTTCCACAGTTGTAATCTTTCTGGGCAAATGAAGCTAGGATCTTGACGTTGGTGATAGTTGATTTGGTCTGTCATGGACTTCACCAAGAGGTCTTGAATTGCAATGCATTTTCCTTGGTCTTCTGCTTCCTCTGCTTCTCTTTGTTGTCCTTCATCTTCTTTTTCTTTTTTCTGCATCTTCTTTTTCTTGTCAAGAGGGTCTCCCTCTTCTCTGGTAGTTTTTTCTCTTTTTATATGCTTTCAAAATACCCTGTACAATGAGATTGAATGATTCAAAAACTGCATTGGATAAAATACAAACTGCAATGCAGTTTTGCTTTCACTAAAATGCAAAAACAGAATATACCAGAAAATATGCATCTACTTGACATGAAATTGAAAGATCAGCATAGCCCAAAACAAGAACTACAAAACACAACAGAAACTACATAACAACATGGCGTGAAATGAGCAACATTCAAGAAGCACAGAAACTGCAATGCAGTTTGTGGTTCACTGCAATGCAGTTTGTGTTCACTGCAATGCCAAAAACAGCATATACCAGAAAATATGCATCAACTTGACATGAAATTGAAAGATCAGCATAGCCAAAACAAGAACTACAAAACACAACAGAAACTACATAACAACATGGCGTGAAATGAGCAACATTCAAGAAGCACAGAAACTGCAATGCAGTTTGTGGTTCACTGCAATGCAGTTTGTGGTTCACTGCAATGCCAAAAACAGCATATACCAGAAATATGCATCAACTTGACATGAAATTGAAAGATCAGCATAGCCAAAACAAGAACTACAAAACACAACAGAAACTACATAACAACATGGCGTGAAATGAGCAACATTCAAGAAGCACAGAAACTGCAATGCAGTTTGTGGTTCACTGCAATGCAGTTTGTGGTTCACTGCAATGCAGTTCACAGAAACTGCAATGCAGTTTCTGGTTCACTCAAATACCTTGTCAACAGTGTCTTCCTCTTCCCTGGTAGTTTTTCGCTTTTTAGGAGTTTTGAAAATACCCTGTACAATGAGAATGATTTAGCATGAATTCACATTCAAGATACATTAAAGTAGAACAACATGCGATAAATTGCATACCTCGATGTCATTCAAGTCCGTTATTTGGTTGAATCTTGTGTGGAGTTCCACAAGACTCCATTTAAGAATGGCAGGAGTTTCTTTCTCTTTGCCCAGGATTGGTTGTATTATGTTTGTCCTCTCACACAGTAGAAACTGCACAGTTCAAAAACAAGATATATCATAAATTAGGTTGGAAACTGCTTAGGATAAAACAGAAACTGCATTGCCTAAAACTCAAAATGCATACCAATATTAGGATAATGCAACCCGAAACAGCTCCTATAGAGCCTTCTCCTCCCTTCTTTGCTTTTGCTTTTGCTTTTGCGACCAAGGATTCATTCATGTAGGCTGAAACAGCACTTGCCCAAGAATAGCTTGAAAGTGTGTCCAGATTCACACAGTGCTCAAATACTTTCCAATGCAAAGTAGACGAAGCGTTGGCAAAAAGGAATGTCATGCATAGGTGAATCAATATTATGCTGACCACCTCCTTGTCGTAGTCAACTTCTTCTTCTTCTTCTTCTTCAGCTTCTTTCTTTTGCTCTGCCTTGGCCTTTTCTTTCTTCGGTTGGTTTGCCAATGAAATTGTCTTCAGTAATTCTGCTTCTACCAGATTTTTTGATGGTTTTCCCTTTTCTCCAAAGTGCCTTATTCTGAAGGTAGAAGTGTACCTATCATTGACAAGTTTGACAGATTTTCCTTCATTTGGCAGTCCTAGAATCTGAGTCACTGCATTGCCTGTGATCTTGAATGCTTCGGTGCCAAATTTGAAGGACTTTGTATCCGGATCAAACTTCTTGAGCAGCTGAACTAAGTCAAGGTCTGACTTATTCATGTTATTCATGTCAATCCTTCGGTTGTAAAACACCTCAATCAAGTTCCAAAATGGGGTGTTCTTGAGAAGCTTCTTCTGCCTTTCATTCAGCTTGTCTTTTACATCCGTAATGATGCTGTTGAAAGCGTTGACATTGCACCGAAATTGGACATAATCTGGGTGCTTTGCTTTCCGATCATAGTTTGGCTTTGGCTTTGGCTTTGATTTACTCTTTTGAGCCATCATTTTGAATCTTCGCTTTGGTTGGTTTTGAGCTTCCTCCTTTTGTGGTGACATTTCTTGTGCCATTTGTGATCTGCAACAAGAAGGGATGAAAATATTATTAGGACAAGTAGAGATAAACTACAAGCAAACAGAAACTGCAATGCAGTTTGTGGTTCACTGCAATGCAAAAAACAGCATATACCAGAAAATATGCATCAACTTGACATGAATTTGAAAGATCAGCAAAGCCAAAACAAGAACTACAAAACACAACAGAAACTACATAACAACATGGCGTGAAATGAGCAACATTCAAGAAGCACAGAAACTGCAATGCAGTTTGTGGTTCACTGCAATGCAGTTCACAGAAACTGCAATGCAGTTTGTGGTTCACTGCAATGCAGTTTGTCTTTCACTAAAATGCAAAAAACAGAATATACCAGAAAATATGCATCAACTTGACATGAAATTGAAAGATCAGCATAGCCAAAACAAGAACTACAAAACACAACAGAAACTACATAACAACATGGCGTGAAATACACAGAAACTGCAATGCAGTTTGTGGTTCACTGCAATGCAAAAAACAGAATATACCAGAAAATATACATCAACTTGACATGAAATTGAAAGATCAGCATAGTCAAAACAAGAATTACAAAACACAACAGAAACTACATAACAACATGGCGTGAAATGGAAAGAAGTATAAATAATTTAGCAGAAACTACAATGCAGTTTCTGTTTTCTTCAGTGCAGAAAACAGTTTTGATGCTCTTTTGTGATTTTTTCGGTTTCTAGAGGTTTTCAAACCAAAACTAAACCCAAAACCTAAACTACATTGCAGAATGACAGTAAGTAAAATTTCAGAACCCTAAAATCAAAGGCAAATTTGTGGTAGGGGTCATTTTCTTACGATTTTTTCCCCAAGAGAGTGCTAAACCCTTCAATCGTCGTCGTTGCTGGTCGTCGCTTCTGGTCGTCGCTCGTCGCTCGTCGCTCGTCGCCGTTTCAGATTTTGGGGGAATAGGTTGGAACTGCTGAAAGAGAGAATGAAGAATCGGCTTCGATCGTTGGTGGTCTTCGATGATGGTCGCACGAATGGGTTGGTGGTCTTCGATGATCGTTTGGTGGTCTTCGATGATCGTTGGTGGTCTGGAGGTTTCTGGAGTTGAAGTTGAAGAGGTTTCTGGAGGTGAAGTTGAAACGTCGCGCGAAGGAGTTGTGATTCAATTTTGGTTTCGGTTGATGTCGTTTTGGTTCAGTTTTGGTTTGATGTCGTTTTTCAGTTTTTGTTTAAAACTAAATACTGAAAATGGCATATGTTGTAATTTTCATATTTTGTAATGGTATTTTTGTTACATTTTGGTTTTTTTTCCTTTTGCTAATTATACTAAATTGTATTTCCTTCTACTAAATTAGTAAACTATATTATGCTTTAAAACTAAAGCTCCCAAAATAATTCATACTCAATACTTTAAATACAATTGTTTTTAAAAAAAAATATTCTTTATGAGAAATTTTAAGAAATGAAACTGCCATTAATATCTCTCTTTCACCCGTTTCTTTTACTTTTCATCCCTTCTAAAAAGGGTTATGGTAGTAAAAACATAGAATAATATTTTAATCATTAAAAAAACGTAAAATCTATATATAAATAAAATAAAAAAAAAAAAAAAAAAAAAAAAAAAAAAAATACCACCAGTCCCAGACCCAACCCCAAACCTCCCCATTCTCTATCTCTCTCTCTCTCTCTCTCTCTCTCTCTCTCATCACAACCCACCTCCTCCACACCTTCCCTTTTCCCCCAGTTCACCATCTCCCATGCCTTGTCTTTTTTTTTTTTTTTTTTTTTTTTTTTTTTTTTTTTTTTTTCTGTCGGAAGTTTCAAAGCAGAAGGCTTCAGTTGAAACTGTGAATTGTAGGTGGGTTCAGCTCTCTCTCTCTCTCTCTCTCCTCTCTCCTCTCTCTCTCTCTCTCTCTATGGTTGTGGAAAGTTTCAAGCAGAGGCTTCTACGTTCAGCATCTTCATCTCTTCATCCTCTGAGATAGAGTTTTTATTTTTAAAATAAAAAAAAAAAAAAAAAAAACTTACGGTGTCTTGACCTTGGGTTGATTTTGATTATGTCTCCGGCGTGTCTTGACCGTGTCCGGGACTTGTCGGCGTGTCGCAATGTCTGACACTCTAACACTCCAGGTGTTTGACGTGTCCGTGCAATATAGAGTCTGCCCACAAGAAAAGAACAATGATATTGGCGACTCCGGTAGGCCACAATACTTTCCTCATAGCTGATAAATTTTATATTAAAAATTAATTAATTATAATATTAATTACTAATTTAGGTTGTTGACCAAAAAAATGAGAGTTGGAGATTAGGCCCAATAGAGGGACATTAAATAGTAGAAAACCCAACTATATAGAAACTCTATAAATAACAAAACTCGAAGCCCATTTTCAAAAACAAAATAACACGTCAAACACTTATTAATTAAGGAGTTTCACTAAAATACTCAAAATTGGGGCTGAAATTATAAAAAAAACCCAACACCCAAAACACTTTATAAACACACTCAAAACCCATCATTACACACACTCAAAACTCATTTATAAACACACCCAAAAAATATACAATTGTTGATTTTGAGTGTGTTTCTATGTTTAAATAGTTTGAGTTTTTTTATAAATACATGTCTAATTGGGTTTATTTATAAAAAAAAAAAAAAAAAAAAAAAAAAAAAAAAACCCCACAATGAAAGCCCATCCCTGTTTTATATATATAAAAAAAAGCCCAAACCCATAAATAATAGAAGAGAAAAACCATAAAAAAAAGGCTTCAAGCACATGACCCACATTATATATGCCTTATGAAAGCTAGTCATGATATGCATGCCTTGTAGAGGAGGCTATTAATGCAAAATGTCGAGGGGGATGTGCTTAAACTCATAAGGGAGTCACTTAGGGAGGTAACCCAACTTTTATGATTGACGATTCCATGAAGGAAGTTCAATGTGGTAGAAACAATCCATACTGCGTGACTCATATAGCACTTATAAAAACTATAGAGATATCCTTGAGATATTCTTCTAATCATCCCTAAGGCAAAAGTGCTATTTTATGTGACGTTGAGAAGGAATTTATCCCTGAATGAGTTTCGAGGCATCCAATCTCCCATGGGGTGCAGGTCACATGTACTCATGGAGAACTCACCTAAATGAGAGACATTGTGAAGCCGCGATTGTGAAAATTGGGCTATTCTCTAGTAACTCTCATGAGAATCAAGATTAGCGCTACCCAACATCCAAGTGTCAACAAATACTATGTGTTGGATATGTTAAAGTTTGGTCAAAGTGCCGGTTCAATACTTTGTTCACTCAGGTTCCTTAAATGGAGACTATTATCACTAAGTAATTTTGTTGTTGATATGTCTGCAACTACCGGAGTCGCCAAGCCTTTGGGTATTCATATTTGGGATGTTGCCCCTATTGATGTGAATCAATTGATTTTTAATGATTTTTTAGTTTCCTTACCCAAGTTAATTGTTCCTTATAGTTGTTGATGGGCATTTGCCATTCACCTTACCAAAAAAGAATAGAAAAAGAAAAAAAAAGATAAGATAATGTCATGTATTATTGAGAAACAAACAAATTGAATCAGATTTCAACAAAGATCAGGTCTGGTAATGAGAAAAGAAGTATTGATGAAAAGAATGAGCAATGAAAAAAGTTGGAATTCCATGAAAGAGGGAGGAGTGAAATGCAAAAAAATGAAATTGTAATCCAATATTTGGCTACTTTTCTTGTGCTTTTTTCCTGGGACTTGTATAGCCTTTGAACATTTAGGTGCTTTTAAATTTCAAGTTATATGCTTCTGAAAAAACATTCTATTTAACATGCACTAACAGTCTTTTGAACATGCATTAACAATTTATTTTACGGTAATAGCATTTTAATAGTGGACTCCCAATCATAAATTGAACCGTTTTCTTCACCATTTTAATCAGTGTTTGTTTAAAACAAAAAATCAAATCAACATGCATTAACAGTCTATTTTACGATAATAGCACCTTAACAGTGGACTCCAAATAAATAACATTGGACTCCCCTACAACAAAGAAAAACAAAACACAAAAATCCAAATAATATATCAAACATAAAATAAAACAACACACTGCTACTACACCACACAAACAAATTCTTAGTATTGGAATTTTAAAAAGGTTTTTAAAAAATTTATCGTTTTGATTTGTTTAATTATTTTAGTTCTTTTATTTTTTTTTATTGTGGAGGTTATAAATATTTAATTTTTAGGTTTTATTTCTAGTTTAATATGGTGGAGTTTACATGTTCTTGGATGCCTATAAAAGGCCACTCCTCTTTTATATTTGAAATACAACCATATAACACAAATACTACTACAATACCACACACCACAATCACCACCACAATATGATTCTCTCTTCCTCTACTTTTCATACTTTCTCTACATATATTATTATTTTTGGGCAACGATTTTGCGACTTGGAGACCTATATTCAACTGTAAACGTGTTCATAGAGGACCTTGAGCCTGTATATTGGGGGTCGTATCTTGGAGTCTTGTAGACCGTCAATATCTGCATGCAAGGAGGCTATAAAGGCTTGAGGACAACGTCTTTGACGTGCTTCACTATACCAAATTTGTTTTCATAATATTAATTTATTGTACTTTTATTTACCTATTATTTGTTTCTTTAGTTTTACTTTACCTTAAAAAGATTTCCAATCTATTTAGTATATTATTTATATAATAAAAGGTTTTGCTTTTGACTTTTACAGAAAGAGGAAAACTATAATTTTTATAACACTTAGAAATATCAAGTTTTCAACGATTAATGCCATTTAGTTCATCTGGAAAATCACAACAATAACAATGCGTTCATCCTATCAAACAGTTCCATGCTATTAAGGTCATCTTCAAATTGAGCACAATATCATAGTAGCAACAAGATTTTGAAAAAGAAAAAAAAAACATAATAGAGCAATCAATCACATCTCAAAAAACAAATCGGATGTCAAAAACAGGATCAATAACACTAAATTAAACAAGATAAACGTTTCATCAAAAGCTAAACATGCATACCTCAAAATCAACTAAAATCCGAAGAAAATAAAAGAGTTGAATCAAAAAGCTAAAAAACCACAATCATGCACCAATAGGACAAATTGAAGATCAAAACCTGCAAAAATCAAAACAAAAAACCAAACAAAACGTCTTGTGCATGACAATAAATATTAAAAATTTAGAGTTGAATGAATTCGAAAAAAACAAAAAAAAAGGTATAAAAACTCACTAGCTTGGAATAGAAAAAAAAAATTCGTAAAATCCAAAAAAATTTCAAAATTTGAAGAATCTAAGGGCCTATTTGGTATTCAACTTGAATCCAACTTTTTAAATTCAAAAACAGAATTTGAATCCAAAACAAAGAAAATCTGTTTAGTAACTCTATTTTTAAAAACTCAAACTCAAGAACAACTAAAAATACCCCAATTATTAAAAACAAAAAATATTTGTTTTTTCAGAAAATAGATTTAAGAACTCCTTATTTTTAAGAAAAATCAAAATTTTTAAGTTTCCTATTTCAATAGGATACCAAACGCCCCCTAACTTGTCTCATGATTTCATAACTCAAAATCCAACTAGAAACGACAATCGCAGCTCATAGAAGAACAAAATGTGCACGAAAATCCTACAACGCAATATCAATTCAAAAATCAACAAGAACTGAACTAATAGTAGCAGAAATCGCACTCAAACCTCTGTTCATATATAGAAATCACACAAGAAATCATATAAATCAAAACTAGACCTCCCAAACAATGAAGAATGAAGGAGCTGCATTTGAACAAATGAGTTGCGTTCGAACGACAGAAACCAAAGAAATTGAAAATTAATGACAATGGCAATAAAGTAAATTTAGATGTTAGGGCAATTAAGACAGCTTGTGGATTTTATTTCTTTAACTTTAACCCCATCTGGCAAGATGTGGCTTCGTTCTATAAAGTTCATGACACGAGAACAAAAGGGAAATTTCATATATAAAATATTAATAAATTCATGACAGGTGGCTGATTTTAGATTTTTTTTTCTTCTCAGAATTCGATTAATAAGAATATCTTTATAATAGTGATAGTAGAAGTGGGTATATATATATATATAATATTTTAAAAAAAACTAATTTAGGTGGTTCTGATAAAACAGCGGCAGGCCTTTTATCTTTACTTGGACTACATGTGTTTAACCCATTACTTTAATTTGGATCATAAACATTTTAGATTAGATCATAACTTTCATTTTGGATTTACCTCACTTTTCAACTAGTGTTAAACTTTAGGCTTAACTGTTGATTTGCCTCTTGAATTTGTACTTTATTTTCATCCTTTACCCTTTTATACTACTTTTTTTTTTTTTTTTTTTTTTTTTTTTTTTTTTTTATATATAATTAAGGATATTAACTTTTTTTTGGCCAATTCCCCATGTCGTCTAAATCCTGAACATTTAATCCAATTTTTTATTAAATCATTAAAAAAAATACAAAGTTTTTTGGAAAAAATTGAAGGAAAAGAGGGAACAAATTCATGGGACCCACTGATCTCTCTCTCTCTCTCTCTCTCTCTCTCTCTCTCTCTCTCCTCCTGCAACCCCATCGACCACAAACGCCCTGATGCACCCCCTAACCAACTCAACATCACAGACA